CTTTGATGATTCTGGATCCGTGAGATTCCCATCCTACAAGTGCATTTCGTGCTACTTTGGACAGCATAAGAGCGACTCCCTGAGTGTGTGGAGCATTGTCCTCTTCGTGACCGGAGTATAGTAGCATCTCTCCCATAGCTAGCCTTTTCTGTCCAGCTTGGGTCCAGTGGGTTTCACTGATTCCCAGTACTGCTAAGTTGTATCTCCTCATTTCCATTGATATTTGACTGGTCTTCCCGGTTTCCCACATTGTTCGAACGTTCCATGTACCTATAAAAATTTTTGCTCTGGTTATTAGAAGGGGCATCGGCCTCGTGGCTTCCGAAGGAACTCGGCTTTCACCATGAAGCGTCATAATTCTTCTAAATGAAGACCTTCTAACTCCCAGGGCAGAGTTAAAATGGTTTGGATTATTTTTTCTGGTAAGCGTTTTTTTAGCGAGTTAGTTTTCTACGGGATGGGGACGCTAACCCCATGCCCAACCCTCCTCCTTTACCCGTGCTTGGGACCGGCAGCAACCCTATAAGAGCTACAGGCGGAGTTGAGCAAACAAGTGCCTGAAATAAATTCGTCCAACTTAATTCGTATTTGGCTCTCTATTACCACCGTCGCGTAAACAGGGTTAACCTAGGTGGAATATACAAAATCAAACGAAAGATTTATGTTCATAGCTCATTGATCATTCGTTAGTTACAGCTTCAGATTTCGAACAACAAACCCTCGTTTCGCCGAGTTCATAAATAAAGTTTACAAATTCGACTCATTTCCCCGTTTTTGTTTTCATTTGCATAACAAATGTAATTCCTTTTCAGTCTAACTCATTGAATCGTTTTGCTCAAACTGTCAAAAACAAGTTGTTTCCGCAAACTTACGGTTTTGTTAGTGCAGGGAGTCCAGAACGTATTCCAACATTAACCTACGAGTATTTGAAGGAGTTTCACAATAAGTATTACCATCCGAGCAACTCATGGTAAGTGTTCAATAAGTAGTGTAGTTCAGTGTCAGTATTTTTTCTTGCGGGAGAGGTTTCGGTTTGCGTGTTGTTACTATTTTGCTTAACTTTTTTCACTGGTTGATATTCAAATAAAAAAATTAAGAAATGATTCCAGGTATCAAATTTATAGTTGGTTCATTACTGTGCAGGTTTTTATAGCAGTTGAATCAGCATTCAAATTTTGTTCATAGTAGTGTCACTCACTTTTATTAGCCACAGTATCATTTTTGAGTTTATGTATCGCGCCCAGCAAGTCATTGTAATTCCTATTTACTCACCGACGGATTGCAGTCTAGACTTAACTGAGGATAAGTTTTACGACCAATTAAATCACACCAATAAAGCGTTTGACATACTGTGCTGCTATCTGGGTTCTTGAATGCTGAAATCGAGCTTCTAGGCACAGTTGTGTCGTTTGGGTGGCTAATAAAGACTTATTAATCGCAAGTTGGATAATAACGATTGCCTCATGCTGTTCTTCACAATCCACAACCTGTTTATGTTCAACCTAGTTCCCCGCACAATTGTTGCCAGTATCCCAGCTTGGCTCATCCCTGAGGTCAGATTGGTCACATTGCTACTAGCCACCTCTGGTACGGCCGTTTACGAGACTGTCGCTACTTTCAAAGTATGTATCTGGATTCTGATCACACCCTGATTCGCCCTAATATTATCTTGCGCTCCTATTGTCAACAAATCAATCGTTGTAATTGAATCGATGCAAGCGAATTGGCTGCAACCTGTATTTCGTCCAAGTATCCATATCAGGCTCAGTCAATCAGCTACAACGTAGGACCAGGCACATATACGCATCGGTCCAAGTTGCCATACCTCATTAACACAACAAGATGGACACTGGATTCATAAAAGTAGTTAATTCAGAGGTGGTAATATATAAAAGAATGATTGCAATAAGGATCTAATACAAGAAGAAAGAATTAGTTCGTAGAAAGAAAGATATGAAACGATTTTAATCTCTTAGTTTAAGGGAAGACAGAGAGTGTATACACCGACGCCATTGTGATCGATTCTGAGCCATGTCACCAAGAGTCTCCAACCATTGGTTACGATAGTCACGCGGACCCCAACCAAGTAATCTGCATCTACCAACATGGCTCAAACTAGAAGTCCGTGACTTCAAGCACTGATGCCACGTTTTGGTTTGGTCGCCCCTAACTTTCTTCCAACCATTTCGAACACCGGTTAGCATCGCACGTCGTGGTAATCGGTGTTCAGGCATACGCAACACGTGGCCCAACCATCTCAGTCGATGAAGATTCACAACCGCATCAACTGATTTACCATTCCTTAATACCCTGCGTCTAACCTCACTATTACTAACCCGGTGGTCCCAACAGACGCCAGTAATAATTCTAAGGCATCTGTGATCAAATACTAGTAGCTTACGAGTGTCTTCTACTCTTAATGGCCATGTTTCGCTGCGGTAAAGTAAGACAGAACGGACTGCCGCTCAGTATACTTGTCCTTTTATTGATAGACAGATATCTCGCCTTCACCATTGGTGACGTAAGTTGGCAAAAGCCAAGCGAGCTTTACGAATCCGTGCTGAGATTTCGTCAGACACCGACCCATTAGTACTGATCAGACATCCAAGATAAGTGAAGTTGCCAACGCGTTCGACTATTTCACTCCCTATCTTTAGTTCAGGTGTTAACGCAGACCAGTCCTGAAGCAATAACTTGCATTTAGAGGGAGAGAAGCGCATTCCAAACATTCTGGCATTGTTGCTTAGTGCTACCAAAAGACTCTGCATTTTATCAGCGTCTTCACCAAACAGGACTATATCATCTGCGTATTCTACGTCGATAAGTGGACCTCCTGGTAGGAGATCAATACCCGAGAATTCAGTAAACGAGAATGCTATTTCCATCAATAGGTCTAGGATGAAGTTAAACAAAAATGGAGAAAGTGGACAGCCCTGACGGACACCACTTGAGGTTCCAAAAGCAGATGACAGTTCGCCATAAGCTCTGACTCGACTGATAGTGTTCGAGTAAAGAGCCTCCACAAGGTTTATGTACTTCTGGGGTACGCCTTTCAATGACAGACACTGCCACAGAATCTCGCGGTCTACCGAGTCAAATGCTGCTCTTAAGTCAAGAAAGAGCACCATTGTCGGACGCCGATAAGTATGCCTATGTTCTAGAACCTGACGAATGGTGAATATGTGGTCGATGCAGCCACGACCAGGTCTGAAGCCAGCTTGATTCTCTCGTGTTTGCAGTTCACGAGTCTTAGTTAGGCGTCTGATAATTATCGAGGCTAGTATTTTAGATATTATATTAGTTAAACTAATCCCTCTGTGGTTATCACAGGATGATTTTATCCCTCTCTTATATATTGGGACGATAAGTGATTGTGATCAGTCAGATGGAATAACGTCTAACTCCCAGATCTTAGCTAAAATATTGGTCAACCTAATCGCTAAAATTGGACCACCATCCTTAAAGACTTCTGGAGCCAGTCCATCTGGACCAGCTGCCCTTCCTCGCTTCAGATTAACTATAGCCTTTTGAACTTCTGCTAGAGTTAGGGGACCTACTTCAATGTTCCATTCACACTGTCTGGGAATGGAGGGTAGTTGTAGAGTAGTTGAAGGCCAGTTGAACTGTTCTCTGAAATGTTCCGCCCATCGTTCTAAACGTCTGGACTGAGAGCAGATGAGGGTGTCGTCTTTTTCCGAAATAGTCTGACTTACACTTGACTTATTAATTCCAGTTTCTTTTATTAGTCTGTAGAGCTGTCTTGTGTTCCCTATAGTCGCCGCCTTTTCCATCTCGTTTGCTTTCGTTGCCTACCACTGCTCACGGTCGTTCCTTAGACTTTTGGTTAACCTAGATCTGATTTGTTTTCGCTCTTCATCGTGTTCAGAGCCTGATGGGATGAGTTTACGAGAATCCATCAGTGCGATAGACCTTGAGGAAACCCATTGGTTCTTTGTAACCCTGTGGTTTAAATCACTGATAGATGTCACTGCTGTTTCCACAGCTGTTTGTATAGCTTTCCAAGCAACATCTGGGTCAGCCTCGTTTTCAGAACTACCTAATCGTGACCTCAGTTGTTCCTGGAACCTACTTTTGGTTTTCTCGCTACTTAATTCAGTTCTAATGGGTCTTTTTCCTTAGGCTTTTTTTGCGTCCAGTGAGGCGCAGGCAGATGCGTACCCGTATTAGAGCGTGGTTGGAGTCCAAGCAGGTACTCCATAATGAGCGACAATCTTCTACTGACCCTCTCCAACGATGACTGGTGGCAATATAGTCTGAGTCCATCTTTGGTTTGGTGTAGGGGGTCGCCATGTTAGACGATGTCTCTCCTTATGCTTAAAATTTTTGTTTGCTAAAAACAAACGATTGTCTGAGCACAGTTGCATCAGACGGTCACCATTATCTGTTCGTTGTGCCGGTATACTAAAATACCCACCTAAATGCCTTTCTGTTTGGTTTAAACTACCTACATGGGCATTAAAGTCACCTGCTACGAGTACTGTGTCTGAACGATTAGCTTTCTGAAGAAGTTCAGATAGCTTTCTGTAAAATTCATCTCTCACTTCATCTGAGCTGCAGTCGGTGGGAGCGTAGGCAGAAACGACAAAACGATAACGACGTGTGTCCCTATCCTTCCGAGTTCTTACAGAGCCGTTTAACCGAACAGCACATAAACGACTGTTAACGGGGATCCACTTTGACAGTGCTTGTTCCGCCCTCATGCTTAGTGCTATGCCTACTCCTGCCAATCTACGAGAGCTGGCCGTCGGGTCACCAGATACACGGAGGGTGTATCTCGTTGACTCTCCGTTTTGTCGAGGTGAGGTCAAGTGAAAGACCACACTGGGATCGTGTATGCGTGTTTCAGAGACACAGCATACATAAATGGTGCGAGATTCTAGGGTTCTAGCCAGGGAAGCATGTTGACCGATTTGACACAGGGTGCGTACGTTGAAGGCTCCAATGTGTAGTTTGGAGCGAGGTTTCAGTAGACCTGGGACAGTGTTTTGAGCACTAGAATCGTTAGCTATGGTGACACTTGAGGGGAAAGCCGAAAAAGGAAGTTTAGAGGTGAAAGTCAATGTAGGAGCGATAATAGGAAGTGAAGAAGGAGGTTGATTATGAATACAGTGGTCTTGAGTGCTGTTAGAGGTATGAGGGCGGTTATCACTTCCCGGTTGCCCACACCGTGGAAGGGTTCTTCTGGAGGTACCTGAAGAGGAAGTTGGATTAGAGGTGGTCTTAGTGACCTGGGAGCGTGACCGCAGTGCCCAAGGGACAACTGCTTAAGGTCGGTCACACACGACCTTTTTATGGGTAATTTTTGTGTTAGCTTCGTACTTGTTGAGACCTTACCGCCGGAGACGGATATCCGTGAGGTAAGGTGAGGTGTGCATTTTTAGGGTCGACCTTTTCTAACCCCACCCCTCCTTGTGGGAAGGTAGCATCGCTGTCATGCTGGTTGTCTAAAGGAAACACCTTACTGCTATCACACCCCTGTACAGTCAGCAGTACGACCTCGCCTTCGGACCTTGTGTTTGTTGCTTTTAGTCTTACCGCTCTTCAACCGACCTGTCTGACATGGTAGGACCTTGAGGAACGGTTGTTCCAGCCAGTATAGCTCGGTTGCTTCATCACGATAGGCAAGCCCGACTACCACGTCAAGGTAGCAACAACGGTCGGGATATCAGACTCAACTCGAGCTACCACCAGTCAACCGAAAAGTTTATATGGGGACTGGCTGTATTTGCTTGATAATGGCAAGGTCACTTGCGGCTCTACGAAACGTCTTGCTTATATTCACAGTTTCTATAAGCTCATCGATCTACTCTACTGGATAGCGAGCTTGATGCTATATGTAGACCTGTAACTCGAAGAATTTCTTAAAGCACGCCTGAGAACCAAGTGACTTGGTGATCAATGCACGGTAATGAGTTGAAAGCACCAGCTGCATGTAGTAACTCCCGGGTCACTAGCAGAAAAATGTCCGGTGTCAGTTTAACATTGTATGAGGTTGACGATACGCCAATCAATAGTAACCTTCAAAAATAAGTTCCCATCCAGGTCGGAGATGTAATGATCATGTACTCACTTTTCGTTGAATGCTATAGCATCACACTTACTAAAGGATAGTAGTCGTTGTATTTCATGACGTCAGGAGCCCCTTCAAGTCGTTGAACAGGACTATGGTTTGAAAGTGTCGGTAGAACAAAGTTGTATCTAAAACTTCTTTTCATATATTAAAGAGCTCTACTAAAAAACACCTAAGTCACAATGAAGCCATTCAACTACTTCTTCCTCATCGTTGCAATACCGGTGTAGAGTAAGACGCTTTCTTAATCTCCTTATTTCTCTCCAACTCCACCACCTATATTCTGGAAACTGCTCCGAAGGAAGTACGTGATGATGGTGTGGATGCGTATCCCAGGAAGAAGATTTTCGAATTCGAGTATGCAGGTGACGTCTTATTGCACGATGACATGCTATGCAAATAACATTTGGTTAACCGACATTCAGTGTCTTCAAGGTCGGGATGTAATTTGCACCTTTCGAATTTAAAGTACTTTTAAGAGACTGTCAGGAGCCTATGGCTACACTCAATCTTTTTGGAGAATCACTAGAAATAGTCGAAAAGTTCATGTATCTGGGTTGTTAGATAACTGCTGTTGGTAGCGTGGCTGGTCAGGTCAATATATGCAATGTAAATCAGAGCCTTGTATGCCAATTATTGCTCTCTGTGGTGCTATCGTAATTTAGGCCCGTCTGTATTAGATTGAATTCACAACAGTTTGTTAAAAGTAGTTTTCTGCTAACTGAAGATATTCATCGACCATGCACAAATATTGTTGTCTTTGAAGGGTTTCTTACATCTTATGCCTATATCACGTTAGAAATGGCAAGCTTCGACAATATGTATTCGGTTGCAATAATGATAATTCAGTTGGTGTTATCATCCATCCACCGACTTGTGTGTTAAAATCATCTACTGTAATTGCTACATCTGAACACAACCGGGAAAACCCACTGTTTAATTAGTTTGAGCTACAATCAGTGAGAGCTCTGGCAAAATATGACGAGGTGACTTCGGGAATCCCTGTCCTCCCTGACTCATATAGGTAAGAAGCTCAAGAAAGGTCGTTGACTGAAATCTATCTAAGAAGTCTCTTTTGCTTTGGAAATTAGTGGTAAGTTTACACCAAGAAAAGTTGTTGAGTCTCTAGATACACGAAAGGTGAGTCGCGTTGGCTTTCTACATTGGCTGGATTAGATAAAGTGAACATTCTCTTCTCGATCTTGTATGTGGGTTTTGAAGACGCTGTATATACCAGAAGCACGAGTTTCTAGCTTCTTGTCTTATGAATCCTGTTATTCTTTTTTATGCAGTTTGGGAGTTAAGAGTTTATTTATGGATAGTTTTTGCTGTCTAGGTCCTTAGTTTTCAGGCCTTATAACTTACATCAAAAATTCATGGAGGGTAGATGAGATGTGCTATTTGTAGGTTAAATCTATTTTGACCTCAGTTTATCATAATCAACTTAGGACCTGACGCAAGCGAATTAGACCTCCAGGAGAAAATTTTCCAGCCAATATAATTCGATTAGATCCCCTTGATCTGCATGCTCGGCCATGGAGTTAAGCTAGTGGATTAAGTACTATATGACAGTAAATTAATTCTGTCAGTACTCCCGATTATCGTCTGCTGTGTAATAATTGTCAATTCAGTAGCTCACTGGTTTTGATATTCCTTGGCCTAATAAGTGTCCGCTATCAGGGCTGAAGTGCATGAATAGTGGAATTACTGACTATATAATGTCTGGAAAATAACCATTTACTCTAATTATACGTCCATGCTTTTAATTTGATTATGCAATAGTTAGTACATGAGTATTTGTTTATTTGCTGAATCAGAGTAGGTTCATATTATTTATATTAAAGATCCCCACCTAACAAACCTTGTGTTAATTATATTTGATTTTACCTTTTGCATTTGTACAAGCAGTAAAAAGTCGAATTGCAGTACTATTGTGATTGTGAATATGTTGTACTCGTCAAAACAACTGTCGTCACCTTATCACGCTTCATAATGTTTACTGTTAGTCAGGATATATGCATTTTGATGATCGAATTACTACTTAATGACCCAATAGGTTATTATTTATTATTTACTTATTTGAACACATAAACATTGGTACAAGGGGGCACCAGATATATATATATATATATATATATATATGTATATATGCGCCACACAAAACAATGAGAATGGGGAGAGAAAAAGAAGGTAAGGTGCGTATAAGAAAAAAGGACAATAACGACCACAGATTAGTGTATTTATTGATTTGGTAATTCACACGAAACGCATATTCGTCGTTATCACTCTAGTTCTCTCATTTGGAGTCCCGTATTCGTTAGTCTCTTGAAGTGTTTCCCGAAAGAATAACTAAAACTAATTTCGATACTTCACACGTGGTTCTTTCTACTTTCAGTTTCTATACTTATGGTAATGTAAACCTGGAACATTGTCTTGATTATCTTGATTCAGAGTATCTCCAACATTACGATTTTTCAGTTCAAGACAACTCAGTACCATTAGAATGTATATGGGATGAACCCGTAAGTTTCTTCAATTTTTGGTCTCGTTTACTGGTCTGTTGTAAACTTTCATGTTGACGAATCTGATATAAAATGCTAAGCTTTTGCCAATATTGGGATCTGAAATATAGAAGAGTTATGAAGGAGGTTTTTTCTGATGTGATTTTACAAAATTTTCACTTGTCAAAACCAATGAATAGGATGTTAATCGATGGATAGACGCAATGATATGTTGTGGAGGAGTGATGGCTTCTCAAAAGACTGTGCAATTGATTTAGGCCCCCGAATAATTAAAAGTAAAGGACAAGACTGCAAACCAGATGAATAGATCTTCGTATAATGGACACAAAATAAGCATAATAAAATGCCATTGGTGATCATAGGAAGTTCTACGTTGTTGCCTCTTCGTCGTCTCTGCCTATTCTCCTACTGACTGCAGCTCAGATGATGTAAAAGATGAATTTTACAGAAAGCTTTCCGGCCTTCGAAAACCTAGGCGCTCTGATGTAGTAATAGTGGCTGGTGACTTTAAGGCTCAAGTAGGCAAACTAAGCGAAAGGGAAAGACACCTGGGCGGATCTTATAGCATCGTGGCTCAAAGAACAGATAATGGCGACCGTCTGTTGCAGCTATGCTCAGATAACCGCCTGTTCCTTGCAAATGCTAACTTTAAGCATAAGGAAAAACATCTTTTAACATGGCGACCCCCTTACTCGTCACAACGTTGGACCTCAGTACATCACATCGCTATCAGCCACCGATGGAGGTGCACGATGGAAAACTCGCTCATTCTGGAGCACATGCTTAGATTCAGATCATGCTCTAGTACGAGCGCGTATCTGTCTGTATCTTACTGGACGTAGGAAAGACGCTGCAAGTAAACCTCTTAGGGCCCTACTTAATGATAGTCAAGCTAAGAGTATATTTCAGGAACAACTAGGAAAACAGTTAGGTAGCCATGTATGTGATGCCCACCTCGAGGCAGCATGGAATGATATCTGAAAAGCTGTGGACACAGCAGTGATATCTGCTAGTACAGTAAACCATAAGGTTAGGAAGCAACACTGGATCTCAGCAGCATCTACCACACTGATAGATGTTCGGAAACTCATTCCACCTGGCTCTGAACATAACGAAGAGCGGAGTTAGCTTAAGCGTAAGCTGACAAGAAGCCTACGCAATGATCGCGAACAGTGGTGGGTAGCGAAAGCAAGAGAGATGGAAAAGGCAGCGGCAATAGGTAATAGCAGACAATTGTTCAGACTCGTTAAGGAAACCGGTATTAGGAAACCGACTGTTAGCGAAACAATCTCAGAGAAAGATGGACATATCATACATTCTCAATCCAGGAGACTGGATCGATAGGCAGAACACTTTATTGATCAGTTCAACTGGCCTTCAGCCACACTTCGGTTTCCCACGATCGGTAGTCAACCTGAATGGCAAGCTAATGTAGGTCCTCCGACTCTTTATGAAGTTGAAAAAGCTATCGGAAATTCGACAGGGTTACTCCTGTGATTTTTAAAGATGGTGGTCTAGTATTAGCAGTGAAATTGACTGAGTTCTTAGGTAGAATTTGAGAACTGGACGTAATTCCATTTGACTGGTCTCAATCACTGATTGTGCCAGTCTATAAGAAAGGACAAAAGTCCTCTTGTGACAATCACAGAGGGATCAGTTTGACTAATATAGTGTCTAAAATATTCGCTTCAATAATACTTCGACGCCTAACCAAAGCTCGTGAAGAGCAGACTAGAGAAAACCGGGCTGGTTTCCGACCTGGACG